AGCAAGGAAATACAAATCAAAACCACAGTGAGATACCACCTCACACATGTCAGAATGGCTAAAATTAACAACTCAGGCAATGACAGATATTGGTGAAGATGTGGAGAAAGGAGATCCCTTTTGTACTGTTGGTGGGAATGCAAACTGGTGCAGCCACTCTGGAAAACAGTATGGAGATTCTAAAAAATTAAAACTAGAACTACCCTATGACCCAGCAATTGCACTACTAGGCATTTATCCAAAGGATACAAAAATGCTGATATGAAAGGGCACATGTACACCAATGTTTATAGCAGTGCTATCAACAATAGACAAATTGTGGAAAGAGCCCAAATGTCCATGAACTGATGAATGGATAAAGATGTGGTATATAAATTTACAAGGAATATTACTTGGTGATAAAAAGGAATGAAATCTTGCCATTTGCAACAGTGTGGATAGAACTAGAATGTATTATGGTAAGTGAAATAAGTCAGTCAGAGAAAAACAAATATTATATGATGTCACTCATACATGGAATTTAGGAAACAAACAGATGGACATAGGGGATCGAAAGGAAAAATAAGATAAAAACAGAGAGGGAGGCGAACTATAGAAGACTCTTAAATACAGGGAACAAATTGAGGGTTGCTAGAGGGGTGTTGGGTGGGGGGTGGGCTAAATGGGTGATGGGCATTAAGGAGGACACTTGCTGTGATGAGCACTAGGTGTTATATGTAAGTGATAAATCACTAAATTCTACTCCTAAAACCATTATTGCACTATATATTAACTAACTTGAATTTAAATAAAATTTTAAAAAATAATTAATTAAAAAAAAACTTTTTTAAAAAAGATCTTTGTTTGACTCTAAGATGACTATTTCCACAAGCTATTCCTGCTCCATGGCCTTGACAGAGAAACAACTCAGCACCACCTCAACCTTAAATTTGTCTGCTGTCTAAAACATACCTCTTCAATCTAGAAAAGCAGAAATCAAAGAGGAAATTTCTAAACTTAACTATCTCTGATTTTCCATATAGTAGGAACCTGAAAGATCCCTAACCTCTGGGTTTCCATGGAAGGAGGCCAAAGTTTTTTTAATAATCAGAGCATCCATAACGTTGCAACAAAGTTTTGTATTCAGAATTAGGCTATACAATAGTGAAATACAGAACACACACACACACACACACACACACACACACACACACATCTATACCATTACTGGCCAAATTAGCCTCTTCTAGGACAGAAAGAAACTTTCACCTGCCTGAGATTCACAAGTAACTACTTCTATCAAAATTAAAGAGATTTGGCAAAAAAAGAAAAATCCTCCAAGAAAGAAAAGAGGAAGCCATTTCTAGAACTATAAAAAGATCATATCCAAGAAAATGTGGCTGGTAAGTGATAAGATATCATATCATATGATATATGATTATAACATGGGCAATAACTAGAGGCTGAGTATAGGTGGTCTGACCAAAAAAACCCCAAAAAAACAAAAAACAAAAATGGCACAGTTTACACTGTTTCCTGATAATAATGACTCACCCCACGTTGGGGAGCAGCTATTCCAGTCCAAGCCAGTCCTAGGACAGCCTGTTAAGTTTTAGCAGCACCCCAACTGATCTTAAGGGTTAGGCCCAGTGGGAGATTTGGGTCAGAACTCCTAGAAGCTTTCCGTCTCCTTTCTGTCTCCCACCTGCCCACCACTGGAGGCCGGATTTCCACATCAGCCCTAGAGAGGGCTTTCTGTGGACCAGAGGGTGACTTGTGACTGGGCTGGACACCTCAGAATCACCGTAACCACAGCACATCCCACATTCCTGAGACTGGAGTCAAAACGTTTTCCTATGTAGAGGTGAATCCAGAATCAGAATATCCAATCCAATTGCCTTATTTCCCAGTGCAACTTCTAGTTTCAATCACAAAGAAAAAAAAATAGGCAGGGGAGAAAATCTGGGCACTTTTATTAAAGTCATACAAAGACAAAGCAATCAGAAGAGTCAGAAGTTTTGCAAAACTGCTCTGTTGGCACTTGGGAAAATTCATGTGAAGCCAAAGCCCAGGGTACAGGAAGGAGCAGAGGAATTGAGATCTCAGAAAAAGCAGGAAATCTCGCCCAACAAGATTTTACCACGTACTGGTAAGTTTGTGTAAACTTGGTGCTCGAGGTAAACCAATAATTAATGGCTACAAAACCACCCCTCCATCATTCGAATGGCCCAAGATCCTTAGAGCACAGGCATCTGGTTGAGAATGTTTCAGCAAATGGTTTTCATACCACTTGTAAATTCATAACTATAAATCTTTGGAATTAAAGCATATTCTTGATCATTCTACCTGGACAAGGAAGAAGTCATAGTTCCGTGGACTCATGGACACTCTAAGAACAACGCTGAATTGTCTTTTCTTTCTTTAAATTCTGTTACTCTGGCTCAAGTCGGTCTTTCAATATTTAAAAAGGTTTGTTCTCACATGCACAGTGTGATCCATATAATCATCAGATTCTTAAATTTTTAACTTTTTTTTGCCATTTTTCATAGGATGTCTCAAACATTTTTTTCTTATAAATACTCAATTCTGGGAGCAGTAAACAGTGATGAAACAAGTTTATTCTGAGAAATAGCCAACATTCTCAATAGCCATGACCCATCTTTGCCTACAATCTAATCTGGCAGATGTACCAATCCTTTGAGTTAGAGATACAGGATCACCACTGGCAGCTTCCAGTCTTTTAAATGTCCCAATATGTAGTCATATAGCAATTGGCATGAACTTCAGTATCTGTGCCTCATGGCATGAGGTTTAGGTTATACACAGATGTAACTAAATTTCACCCAATCCAGTTTCTCAGTTTTCTCTTACACAGAGTGTTCATTGGGCCAAGGCATATTTGTAGCGTCAGAATCCAGGCTGGGCAGCCATTGTTTGAGAACTCCGTATTAGAAGGGAATATTTACCTCACACCGTATTTACTGCCTGATCTCAGGGACGAGGTCAATCAACCCCCTCAAAGTTCTGCCAAACACACATTATGCTCAAAGTGGTCTTGTTCATCTTCAGTTTGGGGTCCTTGACACTGTCAACCACTCTGTTACCTGCACAGATTTGTCTGGCGGCCACCTTCACACTTGAGGTTGTTTTCTGGAAGAAAAACCTCAGTTTTCAAGTTGCACTTGTATTATCCCATATTCCAGATGTTTCAGGTAGAGCAAACGAAAATAAAATGATATAAGTCCCATGCAGTCACAGGTGCCTTCAAATGCTCCTGCATGACACTAAACACAAAGAATTCAACTTTCATAGTGCTAGTATAACCTCAACTAACTAAACTACCTCTGTTATCTAACTACCTCTAAACTATTGAGGTCATTCACCAAAAGTTGGCTCCCTCCTGCCTGGCACACAGTAGGATCACACTTCTGACCCCACTGAACCTAGCAGGGTACATGATTTGCTTTGGTCCATGAAAGCAAGCAGGAATGTCACCCTGAGAAGGAAGCTTCTCAGTGGCCAATGCCACTTGACCACATTAATGTCTTCCTCTGCCATGGTGATCATCAATGTTCTCAATGTGGCTGCTCCACCAGCCTAGGTCCCTGAATGAGGGTGACAAAAATATGCAAAATAGATAACAATGCAAGCAAGAAATACACGTGTTACTTTAAATAATTGAGTTTTGAGAGTTGTTTGTTATGGCAACACAGCCTTGGAAAAAACTACTGGGATACTAAGCACTATAGCAAATGTTACTCTAATCCCAAACAGAAGAAATTTGAAGCTCTATATGTTACACCGTAGCATATATATGTGTATGTATAATTACATATATACACATTATAATACTACATATTCTGCATTATGTATTATCACATTATATGTATTATAGTTAGCCACCAATTAAAATAGACTTTTCTCCCATCTCCTTCATAAAAAAACCCTCCTCAAATTGACTGGATAATCTAAATGCTTGAAAATAAGTACTCACGAATCTCAAAGAAACTGATTCCCCCCATAAAAAAAGAGTACATGATCCATTTGTCAAAATCATTTGTAGAGTTCCACGTCTTCTCTAAGACCAAGTACATTAATCAAACACAGGGCTTCAAAGGACCTTCATTCTGAGCAACCCAACAGACAAATAAAATAGCTGCCCATGGCTCCTTTATAATGGAAGAGGGCCAGGCTGACCCAAGGGGATAGGAGTAAATCACAGAGGGAACCTTCCGAGCAAAAGCAGCATTTGGGGACCCGATGCAAACCAATAAGGCCTTTCCACATACTCTTGTTTCCAAGAGTGTGAGCCAAGCACATGTGTGTTTCTTCGCTAATAAGAAGATGCAAACATCTCACATCTGGTTGATTTCTTATGTGCCACAACCATAAAGATGTCTGTGTCTGGAATACCCATTTGAGCGTTGTGCTCAATGTGGCAGCTCATAAACCTGATCACGCACATCATAGCTAGGATCCATAAGAACGTTTCCTTTTGAAACCATGTACTCCTGGAAGGGTTTCTTCTCTATCGCCGGGATGAATTGCTTAAGGCTTCTCCCGTAAGTACGTGAAGAACTGTCCATTTTTAATCCGCAGAGCTTCTCACTGGTGACTCAGCGAGGGATGATGTCATATGTTATCCTAGCACGGCTGGTGTGGTTCTCTCCGCTCACTTAAGCCATTCCCTCTGTTTCTGTGGCAGACAGCGCTCTCCAGTTTCCATCTTTCGTCAGCTTCTTCCCAGCCAGCCCCAGGCAAACAGCCTCCCCAGCAGCAGATGAAACAGGAAGTCGGACAACTTAAGTCTGCAGCGGGACCCCTAGTGTCCTCTCCGCTGCATGCCCTGGCCGCGTTCCCTGCAAGTACAAACACACACACACACACACACAGAGCTCCCATTGTTGCAGCCTTCCCCAGCCCACTGATCCTAATATGGAATGCAGCAGGAAACCCATGATTTCCTGATACTCCGCAAGCTGGAGGAAGCAAGGGGAAAACTCCACTAAAAAGCCCAGCTTTCCTCCATGTTAGATGTAAAGTGGGAAAGGGGGGAGATTTAGCAGAATTCCGCCGTGTCTTCAGCCAGGCTGGAGAGTGGAAGAGCACAGTGAAACCCTCGGGCTGTTGAAATTTCCAGACTGGCAGGAAGCCCCTAGAACTCAGAGAAAATGAGGGTTTCTTAACTCAAAGTGTAGGGAAAGGGGACAGATGCTTTTAATCGTTCTCCCCAACGTGTGCTACCTTTCTTGACCAGCATGGTAAGCACGAGGGCAGGTGCCAGCCGCCCGGAACAGGTCTGCGGAATCCAAGGCAACCTGAGTAAGGCAGAGTGATCTGGAGCCTGCCCCTCGCTTCCCGCGCCCCATGGGCTCCGGGAGAAGCAGAAGGAACAGCAGCTGCAGGGGCACAGCAGCTGGAGCCGCCAGGATGAGCTGCGAGGAGGGGGAGGACGGCGGCTGCGGCTGCAGCAGCCCCGAGGAGAAGAAGATGCTCAAGTGTGTGGTGGTGGGCGACGGCGCCGTGGGGAAAACCTGCCTGCTCATGAGCTACGCCAACGATGCCTTCCCGGAGGAGTATGTGCCCACGGTGTTCGATCACTACGCAGGTAAGAGGAGGCGCGGAGCCGGTCCCTGCACACGGGGTGAGCGGCGGCGCCCCAACCTCGGAGGGGCCTGGTTCATTTCCAGGGGCAGCGATGGGCGCGGGCCTGGCGGGGGCCAGAGAGCGGGGCGGGACCCACGGCCGAGGTCTTTGCTGGAACTCTTAGGGCAATTCGTACAGCCATTCGTATCCAAAACTTTTTCCCCCTTAAATCAAACGAGTAACACTGCGGAAACACCCTGAACTGCTCCTCCAGGCTTTGGGACTGGAGATCTTACTCAACGTTGGCCTGAAGATCCACAACTTTTTCTGTGAACGTTCTAAAATGTAGTGCAATTGCAGCACAAGTTTTTTCACCAAAAAAAAAAGTCATCACTGACCATACAACTGGTGAAAGAGCTATTTTTGCCACTTTTCATATATTTATCTCGTGCCGTTTCATAAATGAAATGGTATAATTAACAAACATTAGAACATTCATTTTTCTAATGAATTCATTTGATGCTGTACTACCGTATTTTATGTTCCTGGGGTTCTAGATAGGGTGGGGGGGAGGGGTATTAAAAGGTTTTAATGATCTGTTAGGCAATCTGTACCTTGAAGTAAAAGAAACCTCTTTAATGAATATGTTTTTAAAGTAAAAATAAAGATAAAAATGAAATTTGAATCATTTTAAAGTATATCCAGAAAAGATTAAATCAGACATAAAATATTTTAAGGCATGACAGTTGAAATACTGTAGACACAACTTAATTGGGGTTTTTTTTTGAATGTTCTAAAGTTTCTAGGTGTACTTGACAATGTGATAGCTTATCTCGGTTCTTTCCATTTTGATTCTTACTTTTTCTCTTAATTTCCAAAACAAATCTTATTGTTTCTCAAAGCAAGTTCATGAAACTCTTCAAGTTTACAGTAGACTACTTTTATGCCTTTTTTCAACTGAGTGATCAGCTTGGTGAGTTATCAAAGATTTGAGATTTCATAAGAGGAAAATTTCCCTTCCTTTGCCTTGGCTTCGGTTGGGTTCAGCAGAGGGGAAATGGCACAGGAAACCTGTGGGAATGTTGGCTTTGCTTTGTGGCCATTTGAAATCCTCTTTCTGGAGGAAGTAGCTTCTTTTCCAGAGCTAAACAGTCACCTAAGTCCCATGCTTCGCCTATATTTACATGATTTATGACAATACTACATAGCAGATAGAGAATCACAGTGAAAATAGTATCCACTGCCCAGAAGGTTTTTCTATATTCGTAAAAATTAAGAGCAAATTTTCATGCTGATTCCTTCAAGCTTTTCTGAAAATATAATGACTATGCCAAGAGAAGAACATTTTTATGAGAACAGAATAAAGAGAACAGGAAAACTTTTATGCTGAGAAAAAAACCCTTAAAATTAAGAGGCCTGGGACTTCAGTAAGTTACTAAGATACGTGACATGTGAACTTTTTAAAAAATTTTTAATGTTTATTTTTGAAGGAGAGACAGAGCATGAGCAGGGGAGGGGCAGAGAGAGGGGGAGACACAGAATCTGAAGCAATCTCCAGGTTCTGAGCTGTCAGCACAGAGCCCGATGTGAGGCTCAAACTCACAAACCATGAGATTGTAACCTGAACCAAAGTCAGACGCTTAGCCAACTGAGCCACCCAGGCACCCCGATGTGTGAACTTCTTAAGAAAGGTTTTTTATTCTACACCCTCTTTCTGCCAGGAAAGAAAAACGGACGTGTACCTAATTTCAACAACTTTTAGATCAAAAGAAGGGGCCCAAAATATACTAAAGAGAGAGGCCTCAAGTGCTTTTGAAAATGATGGATCCCAATCCCCATCTATTGATTGAACTAATTATCAGTCCAGTATGAGGAAGGAAGAGAATAAAACCAACTTTAGAGATAAACTCAGTCTATAAAAAAATATTAGAGGGCAAGCAAAGGCTGAACTACCACTAGTTTCCACTAGGACCAAATTATTTTGTATTTCAATTGTGTATATACTTACTGTTATTTGAGCATCAAAACATCTTTTTTTTTTTAAATGTTTTATTTATTTCTAGGAGAGAGACAGCATGAGTAGGGGAGGGTCAGAGAGAGAGGGAGTCACAGACTCTGAAACAGGCTCCAGGCTCTGAGCTGGTAGTCAGCACAGAGCCCGACGCGGGGCTCGAACCCACAAACCATGAGATCATGACCTAAGCGAAAGTCGGAAGCTTAACCAACTAAGCCACCCAGGCGCCCCCAAAACATCTTTTTTTAAAATTTGCATCCAAGTTAGTCAGCATATAGTGCAATAATGATTTCAGGAGTAGTTTCCAGCGATTCATCCCCTATGTATAATACCTAGCTGAGCATCAAAGCATCTTAAAGATTTTGGCTACTCCATGATTTTACCTCTCAGGAAATCACTGCCACTTTACCCAAAGCTGTACTTTGCACATAGTAGACATTCCCAAACACTGTTACTTTGATTTACACTCCGTACCTTTCTAAGTATGTAACCATGTCATGTGCTTTCATTTAGGTGATAAAGGAAATGAAGGCATGAGCCTCACATATCTAAGATCATAATGAAGTGAACATTTCCATTCATAAAGAGATCTTCTCTGTCATAAAGACACGTTCCTTTTACTACTGCCCTTCCCATGTATGAGCTAATTGAATGTAAATCCTTATTGCAGTTACATGAAAACCTGCAGTCAATTGTCAATGAACTAATTGTCAATGAACTAATGCTGTCTTCCCCACATGGAAAATTCCCCACTGGGTATCCAGTACCCAGTCCCTGGGTCCTACTGGCCCATTCTGAATGACAAGCAGCAAATGGATTACTGAGTCTTTAAAAAATTGCAGTTCAAGGGCTGCCTGGGTGGCTTAGTTGGTTAAGCATCTAACTCTTGATTTCTGCTCAACCATAGGGTTGGTGAGTTCGAGGCCCGCGTCCTAGTGCAGAGCCTGATTGGGATTCTTTCTCACTCCCTCTCTCTCTGCTCTTTCCCTGCCCATGCACATGTGCTCTCTCTTTCTCTCTCTCTCTCAAAATAAATAAATAAACTTAAATGAAAAAAGAAAAATTCAGTTCAAGTCAAAGAGAGCCTATCCCTTGAAGAAAATGTTTCCATAACAGCAGCCCTCCCAGGAAAGTAGAGATATAACAAGAAGGTTGGAGGCATACCAGACAGTGGGCTTTGAAGCCCGACAGCCCACTTCTAATACTGGCACTGCCGTTGCTGTGTGGCCTTGAACAAATCACTTAACCTTTCTGTGCTTCGATTATCACACACACACACAAAAAGGACCATAAAGGCATTAGGAATGTTTGTGACACAAAATAAATAATACATGTGAAGTTCTTAGAACAGTGCCCCATACATGATAAGTGCTAGGTACATAGCAGCTACTATTATTAAGAATAAGTTCTCTAAATTTGCACACAGTTATGAAAGAAAATTAAAATGTAACTAAAAGATAAAGAATACAACAAAGAAAACTTTAATTCTAATAGTATCCATCAAATGGAGTAGGATTTGATGAAATGTATGCATTGTCCTTATAATATAGTTATCACATGCATTGATAATTGACAAATATGCACAAAGTAATAGTACTGGGATATCAAATTGAGAGGGGAAATATCAGTGTTGCATGAGTCCTCATTAAAAAAAATTAACATCCAGATAGAAAAAATTTTTTTAAGTTTTCTGAATCTTAGTTATTTCCCCTCCACCCAAATGTACATCTCCTCCACGCATCTTTCCTTGACTGCATAAGGAGAGTTCCTTGCTCTATCTTCAGCCTATCCAGAAATTTGTGTACATTTCTAGAAGATGACTTCAACCATGTAGAGCAACTTATCTGTTGCCTTGTGTTTCCCACTCCCACTATGCTCTGAGCTCCTGAGGGAGAGGGTAGGGTCTGGCCAAATCCCATGGTCAGTTCTCAGTCATCAGCTTATTGGATGCCTTGGAGGCTTTTTTATGTCTTGTTACTATCTCTCTGCTTGGTTTCTGGGATAATAGGTTCTCCTGGCTTTTATTCTCCTCACTTGGCAAATCTCTCTCCATCTCCTCTGCTTCCTGCTCCATCTCTTCCCCACCACTATACGCTGCCACACCTCAGTGTTTGGTCCATCGGTTCCCTTCTCTGTTTTGCTCATGCCTAAGTTTGTTGTATCTAGTTTCATGGATTTGAACATTATTTATATACCACTGACTCCCAAATTTAGCTCTCTGGCTCTGAGGCTTCAACTGTCCATTTGAATATATAATAGTATCTAATATCTCAAACTTAACCTGTTAAAACAATTCTTTAACTCTGCCAATCTACTCCTCCACTAGTGTTCCCCATACAAGTATATGACCACCATCTTCCACCCAGTTGCTTAGAACAAAAACTTTGGTATCACCCGTGACTCCTTTCATCTTATGACAATACCCCTCACCCTCTCCATTCAAACCATTTGTTATTATTCCTTCCTACTGCCAATCAGCACAACATTCAAACTACATCTTGAGCCCCATCACTTCTCATCACCTACATTGCTTCACTCTTGCCCAAGTCACCATCATTTCTCATCTAAACTACTGTGCTCACCTCTCAATTCCCTTCTTCCAACCTTACCCTCCTCTCAGTTCTCCACATAGCTGGTAGGGCAGCTATCCATGGCCCAAATCCTCCAATCCCCTCACACTTCAGATCCCATCAGTTATCATGGTCTACAAGGAACTCCATGACTTGGTCCCTATTATCTCTCCACCCTCATCCCTTCACTCTCCTCTTCAATATTTCTGCTCTAGCCACATGAGTCCTCTTGGTATCCCTCAAACATACCAATATCCCACTTTCCTTGAAGACTTCACACTTGCTCTTCCCCCAGCCTGACACTATTCCCCCAGATCCTCTTCTGCTTCAATTGACCACGTTATTTAACACATTCACACACAAAAACACAAACACACATGCACAGTGTCCCTCTTTAATCACGTATCCTGCTACATCTTTATTCATAACATTTCACAC